AGAGCAGGTTGCTCAACTGCCAGTTATGTTCTATTATGCAATCAAATGGACTAAAATCACGACTGAATGATTTGACAAAACCTACTGAAGTAGGAGCTTAAAAATAGTGCACTGTTTTCTTTCTATTGACTCCAGAATTTATCGTGAATCAAACTGTGAAACAAAGAACTGGAATAAGATCATGAGAAATATTCCCAACTGTGGTTAAAAAATAAAGTCTGAATAACTGTTAAAGCCAATACAATACTTGTGACTCTTTCAGAAATCCCACCGTAGCTTGGGTTACAACATAACAAAGCAAAATAAATCTGTCTTTATTCCTTACCGAAAGCTGGTTTGTCAGTAGCAGCAGCCCCAAAGTTGAAGCTTCCCATCTGTGGTGCAGGATTATTGGAGACTGGTGTTCCAAACTGGGGGCATGGCATACCAGCACCAAAGTTAAATCCACCGGGTGCTGACTGAGAAGGGCCGGCAGGAGCTGGCTGAGGAGCAGCACCGCCAAATGTGAAGGTGGCTGAGGAGGAGCTCTGAGTCTGGGTTGCTGCACCAAAGGTTGGTGGTGCAGCTGAGGGAGCGGTGGTGCCACCGAAAGCAAAACCAGTGGAGCTGGCTCCGAATGCCGGTTTAGCTGGGGTCCCAAAAGTGGTTGCTGTGGTGACAGCAGCTGAACCAAAGGCGAAAGGGGTTGGGGCAGTGTTAGAGGCAGGTGTAGATGATGCTCCCCCGCTGCTTCCAAAGGTGAATGGTTTTGGTGGTGCTGCTGAGGCTCCAAAGGTCGCCGTTGCCGCTGTTGCCGAAGAGGAGCCAAACGTCGGCTGCGTTGCCGGTGCCACTGAGGAACCAAAGGTTGTCTGTACTGCCGGTGCTGAAGAGGAGCCAAAGGTTGTCTGTACTGCCGGTGCCGCTGAGGAGCCAAAGGTTGTCTGTGCTGCCGGTGCCGCTGAGGAGCCAAAGGTTGTCTGTGCTGCCGGTGCCGCTGAGGAGCCAAATGTCGGCTGCGTCGCCGGTGCCGCTGAGGAGCCAAAGGTTGTCTGTGCTGCCGGTGCCGAAGAGGAGCCAAAGGCTGACTGTGCCGCTGGTGCTTGAAATGATGACTTTCCAAAGGTAAAGGTGGACTGGGTGGTGGCGGCAGCAGCGGTGGAGGCTGTGTTGGCCATGGCAAAGCCTCCAAATGAAGCAGTGGTTGTGTTCTGGTTGGGTGCTGCCTGACCAAAGGCGAATACCTTCTGGTTGGCTGCTTGAGGGTCTGGCTGTGTGGCACCAAACGTGAAGTTGCTGTTGCTGGAGGTTGTGGTTGCAGCAGCGGGGGCAGCTGCAGTAGTGGTGGTAGCAGTTCCAAACTGAAATGTGCTCCCTGTACTGGGGGCCTGCGCTGTGGCTGAGCTGGTACTTGTTGTGGATGGTGCTGACCAGTTTCCAAAGAGGGATTTGACGGCTGGCTCAGCTGCAGACTGTGTGGCTGTGATGGAACCAGTGGAAGCTGTACCAGTGGTGGTCATGCCGGGAAAAACAGATGGGGTAACGGTGGTGCTGCTTGCTGATCCACCAAACATTGAAGATGTAGTACTTGAGGAAACTGTAGAGTCGGGGTTGGCAGCCGTGTAGGGCGGAGGCTGTCCAAAGCCAGCAGCTGCAGTGGCAGCTCCAAAGATGGGCTTGAAATTTTGGACAGGAGGTTTGCTCTCTGATGCTGATGTAGCCGATGAGGTGGTGGTGACGGAAAAAATGGGCTTGAACCCTGAAGCCAGCAGAGGGTTGACGTTACTGACCGACTCTGAGCTGCTGGCCGGGGTAGTCACAGCAGTAGTGACTGGGTTAGAGGCTGAAGAAGCAGTGGGGGTGCTGATCTGACTCGTCAATCCAAACAGGGTTGGTCCTGCTGTAGGCAGAGGGTTGCTGGAAGCCTTGGACACCTGACTCAGCACCTGAGTGAAGGCAGAAGGCTGCTCCACACCAGCAGAGGAGGACTGAGACTGGGAGGCAGGAGGGAGCTGTGGTGGAACCACTGGGTTCGAAACATTCAGGGTTAAGCCACTGGGTTGAACCGGTGTGGTTGATGCAGACACTATAGACAAAACAAATAAGATCTGGATGATAAATACATATCATGATATATCCCTCAGTGGAAACAAAGCTTTTATTTATTTATATTTCACAGATTAAAAACAACAAATTGTGAAGACAATAAAGCCACCGCACAATATAGCATTTTAAGTCTTGTGTTGTGTTGTCCTTAGGGGATTGGGATTTATCCTGGCTTCATATGAACAGAGGCAATCTCCATTTGTCGCTAGGCTAATTTATACAATGTAAAATGCCATAGGCTTGTGCTAATAATGGTAGTATGTTGTACTTGTGGAGAAAATGTGTCCAGATAAAGACAAGTGCTTTGTCTGTGAATGCTGCGAGTTATAGTGAATATTATTGTGTTATTTATTGAAATTATTTTGATGACAATTGTTCTGAATCTTCCTCAGATTTGTGAAATGTTCTGCTATTTGGCGAACCTTGTCAAGTTCTGACAATAAATATTAGTTTAAACCAAAATAAACTTTGTGGTTTTTTCAACTTTCACTCCGGAGCAATAATCAGCCTTTAAACGGCAAAGAAGTTATGATTCGACTTTTTTAGAGTGATAATTATCGATATTGATGGATATGAACATTTTAGTTGTGATAACATTTAGTTGTGATAACAGTTAAAACTTAAAACTTAAAAATACTATCAAAACAAAGACAAAGTTCAGCTTATTTCCATTTTTCTTTTTCAGTGTTTGGGTTTTTTAACCTGCTTATTTAATATTTTTAAAAAATTACTCTGCATTTCCAAACTTTATCGTTAGGCCAGAGAAAGAAAAAAACAAAATTTATGTTTATATTGCAAAGATGAATTCAAAACTTCCCTGAGAACATCCTCAGTTCAGTGATCGTACCTGCACTTGTGTTGACAGCAGCTGTGGAGCTATTAGGAGAGCTGATCTTCACTTTCAGAGCCTCCAGCAGTGGGTTGTAGGCTGCAGGTGCTGTGCTGACGCTGCTGCCGGGGCTGGGGTCCAGGTTGATGACTGGGATGGCAGGGCTGGAGGAGGCTGTGGGCAGAGGAGCGGCCAGGAGGCTGCTCAGGGTGGTGGTGGTGGTAGAGCTGGCAGAGGAGGCAGGCTGGGTGGAGGTGGTGGCTGGCGGAGAGACAGACTTCTCCGGCTCTGGAGCTAAACAAGGACACATCGACAGGAAGGTCAGAGGTCAGGCTGGCAGCCACACGAGTCTGGTCTAGTCTAATGATCCTGACACACAACCTCAAAGAGAAATCACTGTAACATCTCAGAAACAAGGAAGCAGAGATGAAAAGCTGCTTCACTATTTGGATGATTAAAATTATTGTACAGCTGCAATACTCAAGGAATTGGACTTTTGAGTCTTGAGTTGATATTATTTTAAGGTTAGATTAACAATGAAGGCCAGCTTGTCATTCTTCAAGTGTTTGAGTCTGTACAGTGCAGCATGAACCAATTAGTGTTGAATTTAAAGAAGAGTTAAATGGTGTTTTCCTGTGGATGCTTCCACTCACCGGGCGTCTCCAGGACCTTCTGGATCTTGCTGATGGCAGCCTTTTTCTCTTCATCCAGGTCTTTCACAGTGATGGTGTAGCCCAGCTCTGGAGGCGGAGGCTGCAAATCAACAAGAGTTAAGTAGAGAAAGTGAGGTCACTGTAACACATGACCATATAAACAAAGGTTACTGAAAGCGTGAAGTCTGAAAATGTAGCCCCGCCCCACCACCTCACCAGAGAGATGTGATCGTCCCGGTGGCTGGACACCAGCTGGATCTTGCGTTTTCTCTTTCCACCACTACCAGTAGAGTCTGTTGAGGTAGGAACTGGGACCTTGGGGACTGGAGTCAGTTTGGCTGCAACATCATTACATAATGGACAATAAAACTAAATCCAACGGAAAAAGAAATACACAGTGTGTGTCTACCTCTATACAACCAACACCAGTTTCATGCAGGGATGCACTTTTCTGATACGCTCCACTGCCCCCACCGTCATTTGGCATTTTTTCAATATCATTATTTAGTTGGATGGAAACTGAATGTGTCTGCTCTCTACATCAGCAGCAGCACAGAGGAGCAGCCCGAAGTCAGATTTCACTTGTCACAAGAGTAAGTAGAGATGACTGACAAGATGTTGGGGGAGAATTTTGTGTCAAAGCGCTGGCACCAAATTGGCGTTTTTTAATTGAAACCCGATGTTAATAGAGATCCTGATAATGTTTATCAGGGAAAAAGGAGTTGGTTTCATTGCTAAGAAGTTGGAGGTGTGTTGCCTGCAGCTCTTCGTCTAACAGCTCACTGTGGCTGCTCCTGCTGCTTCATGAAATATTTCAAACTAATAAAAAAAAAATTCATGTTGTCTTGTCGATGCAATTTTGATGAATGATAGCGGTATTGCTAAGTTCAGTGACAAACACATTGAACACAACAAAATTCCATGACTCTTCCAAAACTTCCAATGATTCTTACTAATTCCCTGACTGTTCAAGGCCTGGAAAATCCATCCATCCATCCATCCATCCATCCATCCATCCATTTTCATCCGCTTATCCGGGGGCCAGGTCGTGGGGGCAGCAGGCCAAGCAAAGCACCCCAAACGTCCCTCTCCCTAGCAACACTTTCCAGCTCCTCCTGGTGGACCCCAAGGTGTTCCCAGGCCAGATGAGATATGTAATCCTTCCAGTGTGTTCAGGGTCTGTCCCGGGGCCTCCTACCAGTGGACGGAAGGCGCCCAGCTCCTCCCCCTATCTCTATGGCTGAGCCCAGCCACTCCACAGAGGAAACTAATTTCAGCTGCTTGTATCTGCGATCTCATTCTCTCGGTCACTACCCAGAGCTCATGGCCATAGATGAGGGTTGGGACGTAGATGGGCCAGTAAATTGAAAGCTGGAACATTTGATTGTGAAATTTCATGACTTTTCAAGCTTTCCCATGACTGAGGGAACCCTGAAAGGAAACGCTGAAATGTATTTGTAATTTCTTAAATGTCATATCTCAAAATAAATAAATAAATAAAAATGTAAAAAATCTGAATCCCAGAATTGAAAATAAAAAACCTACCCAATGAACAAATATCCGAATAGTGGAATATTTGGGACCAACCCTAATATATCCCAATGAATTCAACACTGTACAGATTTTAAATTTGTAAAAAAGGAGACCAAACGTACACCCCAAGTTTAAGTATCTGAATTATTATTAGTTGAACCAGTGCATCAGTAGCTTTTGGTCACAGCAGTCAAAGTGTGACCAACAGTTTACATGCACAATGACCCATTTATGTAACACGCTGCCTGACCTGCATCTTATGTCAACAGCTTAACACAGAGACACTGCACTTAATCAGGTTTAGAGTGGAGGAGTCTCACACAGGTTACCTCACGTATCGGAAAATCTGGTACAAAAATGGGTCCTTGGTTTAGAAGGGATATATATAACTGACTATGTGGGATACGTAATGACTTCAGTTCCATTAAAGTGACCTGTAACTGCCTCTGGGACAAAGCAGAATCATGCAGCTTTTAATTTAGCTAGTCATTAAAATGTTCTGTCAGTATTATACAACCGTGCGTAATCTGCTGCACGTCTAAGCCTGAGGAAGTCCTTTGTTTACTACACAAGAGGACAGCCAGTGGAGATAAATGAGACTTACAAGTAACAGGTGCCTTGTCAGAGGCTGTCTGGTCTGACCTCGCTGAGGATGCTGAGCTGGGAGACTGCCCCTCGTCCTCTCTGGTAATGAAACCACAAGTTACAAACTGAGATAATATCAGAAATAAATGTGGATAAAAAGCACAAAAACAACTGAGAAGTACCTGGGTCTTTTGGAGGCTCCTTCTGGAGTCTGAGAGCGAGATGATCCAGGGCTGGACAGAGGGGAGCTGGGTGCTGACCGCTTCTTCCACTGTGATGGTAAACATGGAGTTAAAGCTTAACAGCTCCACTTTCTCTCTGCAGGGCCAAGAGCACTTTAATGCAGCGGGTAGGTTTTACCTGGCTGAGGCCTAGTGTAGAGCTGTAGGAGCTGTGGATAGGATTTCTCAACGAGCCTGGGGTTCCTCTCGGGGCATGGACCCCACTGCCAGAGCTGATGGAGGAGGTACGAGACCTTTTCATGATGGACTCCTCCGCCAGCGACGCCATCCCTCTTTTCAGGCTTCCTGGCCTGGAGGAGGGAAAGAAAAGTATTTCCACCTACATTTAGACAGCCACACTAACTTCAAAGCATCAAATACACAGTAAGTCAAACTCAAAAACAAGATGAGACAGTATGATGTCACTTCAGAAAAGTTAAACTCACTTAGGGACCAGCTGTGATGGTGTTCCATTGGGCAAAAGAGGCTCGAAAGCAGAGTGTGCACTTCCACCGCTGTCGTTACGCCTTGAGAAATAAAAATGGATTACACACATGTATACACTCTGACTGACTGAAACTTTACACCTTGAATAAAATGCGTCTTGTATCCAGATTGTATCTAGATACGACAGGCTGTCGACCGGTTTCAGCCACTTAAACGTAACACTTTTTAAGAATCTTTGACGATATTTTTAAATGAATTTTAAGGCTGAATTTTGGACAAATCATCTTTATGTATAAAGCTAAGCAATATATATGTAATCTCTTGAAGACGGTGCTGTTATTTCAGATTAATTGCTTATTAGAGAGCTGGGTTAATCTACATTTTGCCGACAGGGGATCACAATCTGTCCTCAATGCAGTTTGGCTGCATTTACACCTGTGTTTTCATGTGGTCAAGTACTATCCCATAACAATCTATTCACCCTAAACGCATTTTAATGCCAGATGTAAAGGTCTGATGTATGAACCAGGTCTTGAATATTATTATGTTGAGATGTCTTGATTTAAGTTGTAACAGGAAAGCTGACCAAAAAAACCCCTAAAGCCCTTTTCAGACACATAATGTGTAACATTGCTGGGTTCATCAGCTGTTAAAATGATGGTCGTTCAGACAATCTAAATTCTGTCACATTGGCCCCTTTTACACTGCCTATTCAATAGGGTTGGGTACCGTTCATAACTGAACCGATACGGTACCGGTACTGGTATCTGGAATTCGGTACCGGTACCAAACGGTAACTTATTTTGGTACTTTTTAACCCTATGGGCCCGAGGCCTTTTTGGGGTATTTTAACTGCCTTTACTTTTAAGCTCATATCACAGTCATTATAAAGGCTACATACACATGCTATATCATGCTATCACTGTTCTTCTATGTGCCTGTATTTTATATTAATTTTTATATCAATGAAAAAAACAAATCTGTGTGCCTAAATTCTTACATTTTTACATGTATCTCAGCATAGCAAGTTGGAAAAAGACATATTCTGCCATATATGAAGAGGGGAGACTCTCTGGAATCTGGCAATATGAGAACCATGATACTGGGACATTCTGTCACTTCACAGTTGTCCAAAACATGTGGTTTGTGCCAGGCGGACATGATTGCCAGTATTTTTTCATTATTACAAGAAATTCCATTGACTCATTCACAAGTCAAAAATGTGTTTTATCTGAAAGAAACATGCAATATTTACATCTAAGATCATAGAAAAATAGTCAACCAAGTGCAATGATGTCCTCCAAGATAATATTTGTTTTTCAGTTTCAGTTATATATTGGGGAGACATTTTGGGCATTGGTGGGGGGGCACGTGTCCCCCTCAATGTATATGGTGACTACGGCCCTGTCA